AGGCAGCCATGCTCTGATCGGCAGGGCGTGAAGAGGTATCACCCACAGCACCGTAGGCAGCAGCTGAAGGATCGTCCGCGGCTGAGACGGTAGCACCGGTCGTGTTAGTTAAACCAAAGATGTGGCGCAGACGTTCCCAGACGAAAACACCCTCGGGTGGGTTGGTATTGCGGTTGCGGAAACAGACATGACCACACTCAACGTCTGGATCCGTGAGGTCATTGGAGGGAGGGTTCCAAGGACCACGACAACGGTAGCAGAAGGCGGCGCCGTTGCACTCGGGTCGTTGGCACACGAGGCGGGGACAGGCACTGAAGCCATGAGCCAGGACCGCGTAGCTGTTATCAAAAGGAATAGAAAATCGTGCGTAAGAGTCAGATCAGCTCTAGAAACAAACAATAAACAGTACTACGCGATTCAACTGCAGCTGAGTGTTAGATAAGGTTGGTGCAATGAGGATCTGAAAGTTATACATCCAACAGTTGGAGATTAACTCCAACTGTGTAACTTTAAAAACATACAAACCGCGATCGAGAAAGTGTGGCCTAAATTGCAGAGCGTCAGGTTTCACGATCATAGGTTAAGAGTTTAGGTGGTTCCTGTCAGCGATAAGAACATCGGAAACAGGCCTTGCGGCTCCCCTAGTCTTTGTTAGAAGTTCGACTAAATAAAATTTGATAAACTCGAGTTGTAGTGAAAAGAAATAAAGGGTAGCTGGCAGGCTGTGGTATATTCGAATTCGACTTACGAAGAGTATAAGCGTACTGAACAACAAACGTCTAAAACTTAGGTCCTGCTAGTAAAGAAGCCTTAATTTTGCATCTTTATGGGTCAAAACAGTACAACACAGAACTAATAACTAACCACGGAAATAGTTGGCGATAACAGAAAAATTGACCAAAAAGTTTGGTGGTTAGGCAAGAGACGTAACTAATAATAAGAAAATTTAAAGTAGGGAATCAGAATTCTTATTTTCCGATTACCACAATTTGAGCCATCAATGTGAGTAGCAAAAACGTGCGAATAAGTTTGTAGGACAACAACGAATAGTAGTAAGCGTTTCAACTACTAACTATCGTAATTGGTAAAATAGAGTGGTTTTAAATGTTTTGAAGACACGCACGGGAACCCTCTGTCACCCATATCTGCACGTTACTATACATAATCCAGCACGGCCACGAGCAGGCCTGATCCAGCGGGCCTTGATAATGTCGAACATCGTGTCTCTCCATGGGTGACAATCTGCGGCCTCAGACCTGGGTAGTATGGCCGTCTATCACTACCAGGGAGGAAGACAGAACATCAAGGGGCTACAACACACACACACACAGAACATCAAAGGTCCAAGAGTCGCCTCTACGTCTTGACTGGCGATGTTCGGTCGGATTTTGAATTGACCGCCTCTTTGAAGACTGAAGGTGGACGGTGACGCCGGGTAAATGTCAACCAAATGGAATTCATGCGAAAGACTCTAAAACACTTGATTAGTGCTTTTTTGATGACTAGAAATATCCTTATGGTGTCACAGCGAATGCGGACGGTTTCATTACAGACGAAGTTGGTGTACTTCATTCAAGGGATGGTTTGTACGCAGTGGTGGGCCAACACTTACAGTTTTTTCGTGTATCTAACAAGTATACTGGCTAACATTTATAAGTATATGGAACTGACCGTACGGAGTACCGATGTACGCCGAGCTGTGATGATGAGCCGATAGACACATCCTAAGGATTTCAAAAACACTGAGAATAGTGTCGACTTGTGTTATGGAGACGCGAACGGCGACGCACTCAGAGCCCAGAGCTGGAAATAAACCCCAGTTTAACCATGCCGGCAGACCGGCCGCGTGC